GAGAAGCTGCAATGTGTCTATTACTCATACAGTGATGTGGCTGTTACTAAACCAAAAGCTTATTTTTATAAAGCAGTGGTTTTGCATTTAGAGGCGAGCCAACACGGTTCCAAAATAGTTTTTGTGTACACAACGACATACAATTAAACTTCTACAAAGAATTATGAGTTTGTGTCAAAATCTGTAGGGTTTGAATGGACTGTGTGTGTGTGTTGATCAATACCAGTAATATGAAACATTAAATTTTCATTGATTTGCTTGAGACTATTGATTTTGAATTGATATGGGGTTTCACACTACACTGTGCATGCGAGGTCACTTATAATGAAGTATGGATTAACACAATGATGTTTTAAAACTATGCCATATCCATTGTACAGATATCAGATGTCATCGCACCTAGTGCGTTTCAAATGACGCAAATGTACAGCGCTAAATCCAGATTATTATAGGCTTTATTTGAGTGCTGTCTCAATCCCATCATACAAGTTATTGATTACTCCCTACTTGCACTCTGTAAACAAAGTATTTTCGCTTTTGCAACGAAACACAGAGCGTTAAGTTACATAAAGTTAACAAAGTTATGCCTTCTTTCTTTGCGTGAACATTTGGGCGGTGTTATGCAAATCTTCCAACATAGTGACGTAGACATGTGGGGACATGTTTTAACGAGGCATTTTAGGGGGGTGTGGACCAGTCTTAACTTTTATAAAGAATATCTCTTTGGGTTTGAGACTTTAGTCTTTGCAACTTTAGGGATCTTATCTATTCACGAACAGCTTGTAACACTCCAAAGAGAAAGGAAAACTTGAAATCGCATCACATGACCCCTTTAATTTCTCCACGTCAGTGCCTTCAGTGCTGGTCATTTGAGGTCTCTCTGAGGTACTGTGGATGCCAGCTCAAGTTTATAAGTTCAGGAGACATCAGGAGACCAGTGGAATCAGGTGTGTTAGATAAGGGAGACATACAAAAGGTGCAGGGCAGGGGGCCTCCAGTACAGGTTTGGGAACCACTGATCTAAACCAAGGCAGTTGCTGGCTTTTGGAACATTGTAGCTGTTTTCTTACTGGTTTAAGTTATTTTCACCATGTAAAAAACAATCAAGCTGCATTTTGCTTTCATGTAGTCAAAAAGCATGGAGGAAAATATGTGGCTTGCTTTTTATGTTTTTCTCAAATGAAAACAGACACATTTTTTGAGGAAATAAATGCCATTACACTCAAACCTAATCAAATATGCCTTTTTTGTCTTTCACTTTAATGCAACACAGAATATGTACACTTCCATTCAAATGTTTGTGTTTGGTAAAATATTTTAATGTTTTTGTAAAAAGTATCTTATGCTCACCAAGGCTGCATTTATTTAATCAAAAATACAGTAAAAACTGTAATATCGTAAGATATTATTACAATTTAATATAACCGTTTTCTATTTTAATGTTTTAAAATAATTTAATAATTTTTTCTTTATTTAATTTTCAGCATCATTACTCCAGTCTTCAGTGTCACATGATCCTTTAGAAATCATTCTAATATGCTGATTTGCTGCACAAGAAACGCTTATTATTATTATTATCAATGTTGAAAAGAGTTTACTTATAGCATATTATTTCTGTGGAAATTTATATTTCTTCAGGATTCTTGGATGTATAGAAAGTCCAAAAGAACAGCATTTATATGAAATAGAACAAAACTTTGTAACATTATAAATGTCTTTACTATCGCTTTTGATCAATTTAATGCACCCTGGCTAAATCATTTTTCTTTAAAAAAAATTGTTTGAGTTATATTCTGATTAAATTTTTATAGTTGTCTCATATAAATCTTATACTGTAACACTGAAATGACGCTCATCATCTTTAAAATGCACGTCAGTTTGCATAATATCTTAGTCTGTTTATTATAAACAAGACAAGCCCAGTGAGAGGGCCTGTTTTATAGCGGCCAAGAACAGCCTGCCCGTGCCAGAGCCACCCTTCCCCGCTCCCGTTTCAAGCTGTTTGCAGGATGCAGGATCTGGAGGTATTCCCTCAGCACTCACACCAGCTCCAGAGCTGAAACACTACACCACACTGAAGAGGTCAGACATAGACAAGAGTGACTGGGGAAACACTTACGAAAATGTTTTACTAAGCAAGATGAGGGAGTGTTGTTTTTAGGTTACTACCGTTGGGCTTCTGATTCTTACTAGTGATATAGCAGAATGCTTATGTAATAATTTTTGATTCTCCACAGCAGTTTTAGTAGGTTATGAGTCACACGGGCCTCTGGCTATGGCCGCATTAAACTGCAAATACAGTGACGCAATTAAAATTTATTAGATTAGAGATCTGTAACTACGACTCTCATGAAATGTATTTAATTGCCTCCTGGTTTGAACAAAAACATCTAGAGCAGAAAATTCTCCTTGCTTATTTTGAATTTCAACCATTCCAACGACAGTATCTGCTTAAATATGGAGGGCATTCCCTGTGAATCCTTTAATGTAAGCTTTCATTTGTACGTTCTTGGATCTCTGATGTTGGTAATGGTCACATGATAATTAATTAAACAGATAAAATATAAGATCATATAAATGATCAGTTTTAGTATTTTATTTTTTATTTTATGCTTTAAATAACTTGTTTAAACATGGGCCTGTATGTTTTTATGGCTGGTTGTTATATTTTTGTTTAAACTGTAATTTTTAAAATGAATATATTAATATATATATATATATATATATATTACATATTACATATTAACAATGGCAACTTTGTAATACTTTTAATTAATGTTTGAAAATATTATTTATAATCCTTCATACATTGTTAGATCCACATTGCTGTGCATACATCATTTAAACGGCTTGACTGAAAAACCTGGAAACCCTGCTGGCTGTTGTGTGATGGCAATTTAACCTCTTACACAAACTCATATGTTTATCATGAGGTTGCATATTCAATACCTGTTTTATTTTAAGTCCAAAATGGATGGTGCACATTTTTTGTTTTCAGATATTTTTAGTTACTTTGAAGTAAATATTGCATTTCAAAAATGCAGTAATTGAATGCAGTACAATCATGCTAAAAGCAACTTAATATGGTCACTGTTTTTTGCAACTGGTGTTGGGTTGTAGCTGGTCCAAGCTTGATTAGGTGTTAACCATCAACGTGGACCTGATTGACCTAGAATATTTTTGTCATGCATGGGCTCTGCTTGAAAACACAGGTCATACCACCCTTAAGGTAGACGTATTAGGTTTGAAACATGGTGGCTTGTGGTTGAAGATTATATGTACCAGTTCTAACCAGCTTGATCAAATGTTCTACCAGCTCAACCACATCTCCACCATCTGGTAGACCAGCTGGTCCATTTAATATCTGACCAAATGACAAACAACCATATGGCATTATGAGCCACCTATAAGCCAGGTTTTACAGAGTATGTAAAGTATTTTCTCTGTACAGAGAAAATATGTCTAGAAAGAAAAACTACTAAATCCAACTAAATTCTAAACCATAAGAACTATCGGTGCCGATTAATTGGTAAAACCAATATATCAGTTCATCTCTAATTGGTCGACTTAATACACAGCTCCGTCTTATTGGTCAATTACGGCATTCTTTAGTCGGATATGTTTGTATAATCACTGCATGAAAAGCCAGATTTTCGTCCCTGTCGATGCCTGATGACTTCTCAAATCACCGACAATTATCATATTATATTATAGACACTAACCTGTCTAAGCTGGCCACTGTCCCAGACAACCGATTTTCTGCATAGCTTGTATTAAAGGGTTAGTTCACCCAAAAATGAAAATTAGCCCACAAATTACTCACCCTCAAGTCATCCTAGGTGTATATGACTTTCTTCTTTCAGACGAATCCAGTCGGAGTTATATTAAAAATTGTCTTTGATCTTTCAAGCTGATTAATGCCACTCAGCGGGTGTTGCATGCATCAGTCCAAAATAAGTTAAATAAAAAACGCCCATCCATTAAAAAAAAGTGTCTCACACGGCTCCGGTGGGTGAACAAAGGCCTCCTGTAGCGAATCGATGTGTTTTTATAAGAAAAATATCCATATTCAAAACGTAATCATCACTGTAATGTAGCTTGCGCCAACAGTCCTACACGGAAGCAGCTCCGGGCGGATGAAGTATGAGGTCAGCTTTGCGCATGGGCGCATGCTTTTTGTCTATGGATGGGCGCTTTTTATTTAACTTATTTTGGACTGATGCATGCACCACTCGCTGGGTGGCATTAAACAGCTTGAAAGATCAAAGACAATTTTTAATATAACTCCAACTGGATTCGTCTGAAAGAAGAAAGTCATATATACCTAGGATGACTTGAGGGTGAGTAATCTGTGGGCTAATTTTCATTTTTGGGTGAACTAACCCTTTAAGTGTAATAATGTACAGTTTATTTAGCCATAATGACCAGCTGACTTTACATTATCCCTTACATATCAGTCAACCACTATACTCCTGCCATCTCTTTAAGGTTTTCCTCTTTGTCTTTCATTCTCTCTGCTGCAACATATTGCGAGCAGCAGAACCTCTGCAGCCCTTCTCTTTAAAAATTCAGGCAACCGCTCCATTTTCCCTCTTCTGCCCAGAGAGCTGTATTGTATTGTATTCAATATTGAATTTTACCATCAAACAGCGCGCATTTCAGCAAAAACAACAGAGTATTTTGAGGTCACAGAGTTTGATGGGGACAGCAGAGGAAGTGTTTCATATTGACCTGTGCTGATTACCCCACAGCGTGAGAGACGGAGACACGAGAACGAATTAAAAAGGGATGTATGCAGAGCTGTGTGAGCAGCATCTCCAATCAGGCAGCTTAGGAAGAGGATGGAATGGGAAGGGTGGGGGAAGGAAAAATGGAGAGAGAGGGAATGTGTGTGTGTGTGTATTTGGAGGGGGGATTTCTCTGAGGGAGAGAAAAAGTGGTGGAGAGAGCGCACAGAAGGAGGGGAGGGGTGTATGTGTGTGTTCACTGAAGTGTGTCTGTGTGTGTGGTGCTGCAGTAACGAGTGGAGAGGGGGGATGACTGCAGTTTCTCGGGCTGATGGAAGAGCGCAAGCAGGAGACGTTCGCACGCCACTGAAACGTTAACCCCTAAGTGCCTCGCTGGTGTATGGGCCAGACGCTCATTGAGGATTAGGACCGAGCAGATCACTGCAGTCAGGTGTGTAGCCTTTCAACATGTTTTTTTTTCTCAAAGGTGCTGCAAAATTGGGAGGGGGGATCCGGATATGAGAAGGTGGGATATGCCGCGCTGGATGCTGGAAAGATTGTCCAGGGCACTAGATGCTTATGACTTAATCTTGCAGCGGAGAGGGAAGCCCATTCGAGAGTGGCCTCGCTGATTACTAGAGTAGGCTACTGCAGTGTGATTCATATGCTTGTCAGTCTTGGATAACTCTTGTTTGTGTTGAGTCTGAAGAAAACTGGTCTCTAAAGTGATGTTAAACTGATCCGGAATTGCTGCAGTGTCCAGAGCTCAAAGCGTTTGTCCCAGTTGGCTTATATGGGTTAGTTTAGTTCAATTTGCATTGCTTGCTGATCTCAGGTCAGCTTTCTGTTACACCTCACAGAGGTTGGAGTCAGGGACCCGTCACGGGAAGCTGGTCCCGGAACGGTGCACAAGGGCAAAGTGAGCCGCGAGCTGTCGGCAGGCGGGTGGGTGTTTACTCCGTCCGTGGGTGCCGGTCGCTTCCTAGAGAGTTTCCAGAGGTCGGTCCCGATGACAGCTGCCACGTTTCCCCTGGAGAGGCAAAGGGAACGACACCCTCCTCCCCATCGCCAAACAGCGGCAAGACAATATGCTGCAGCTCGCTGGTACAGCTGCCGTTAGAGCGGATCACAGGGAGAGACCACAGACAATGGAGTGCATTAAAAGAGCTCTGCAGTACAGCAAAGAGAGGAGGAAACTGGATACCTGCTGTCCGCTTTCATTCAAAGCACTTTGTCGTTGATTTCCACCTTGTGTTGAACACTTGATATTCAATACTGTTCCCATGAATACATCAACATACTCTTTAGATATTGAGATGTTTCCATTATGGACATGTATAACAGTTCACCAATTGTTTTCCATTAAATACTCTCAGATAGATCTGGTTTGGTGTTTCCTGTCACAGTGGTTGTTGTAAATGTGTTGTGTTTCTGCTAGAGGCTTGAATTAGTGCTTATATTGGACTTTAGAAGTGTCAATTCGACACACTGGAATGAAAAGGGAACTTCCTTAGATGCTGGGCAGCTCTCGCTCTCTTTCTCTGGCAAGGTTTTTTCTCGCTCTCTTGGGATTCTCCTGCAGAGGACTGGGGATCACAAGGAAGGGACGTTCTCAAGGACAAATGCTGTGTCATCAAGGCTTTAGATTTGAACCAGAGTACAGTACAGTGTGACATTGAGCTCAGATTTATATTTTAAATTTGGGGGAAATTGTAAAATGCGGTAACAATATTTGTGCTTTATTTAGTCTGATCTCTGGTTTCAGATGTTAAAACTGTTGGGTTGTTTTTGCTCTTTTCAGAATGTTTTTGTTGAGTGTTAATGTTCATATGTGTTTGAGACATGTAATATAAAGGATTGGGGTTTTAACACCTTACCCACCACCTAAGATACCTACATGACCAATTACCATGTTTCTGATGGAGCAAGACAAACTAGAGGAACATTAGACTTTGTTTCACTTATACTATAGATGTTTCTCTCAAAATTTCGTAGGAGCAGTAAGATGGAATGAAATTACATATTTATTGATGTTCAGTTCGAATTGATATATAGCCTACATGTAATGTGAACAGACTACCTCAGAAAATCTGGTCTTTGATGAATTTGAAGATATATATTTGAGTTCATTCAGTCTAATTTGTGATTTCTTTTTCTTAAATTGCATTTAAAGTGTTTTTTGAATTAGAGAAAAAGTCACATCACAAATTATTATTATTACATTTTTTTGGATATAAAAAGATCAACACAGGCTCACTGGAAAAGTAATATCTCCCCCTTCATCTATATTTCATGGTATCTGTCAGCAGCCGAGTTATTCTTAACTAATGTATTTAAAGTAACTTGTTTCATAATTTAGAATAAATAATTATGGTGAAAATAGCATCTGCCCAGTAAGCAGCCAACCAATAATAAATCTGAGAGAAACCATAAAACAGCTATTGTCGTTTATCATCATGGACACTCGTTCCCATCTGGTCTCGCATCACAGTTTTGCGTTATGAATTACACTCGATAAGACACAAGTGATGGTCAGTACTACAATGGATCATAGCTTTTTATTGGCAGGAGAACATTATTTAAAGCATGTCCCATAGGATTATGTTAGAGAGGTCAATATAGACAGAGAAAAGTACAATATCATTGTGGAATTCCCTTCTTTATTAGGAGAATGTCTCTTTCTTTCAGGATATAGCTCATTAGTTTGGAAACCATCACTGTTAATAGTTCACTAAAAAATGAAAACCCTGTCGTCATACTTGCCCTCATTCACTCAAGCCCTGCAAGACTCTAAATCTGTAGATCATAAAAAGAGATTTTTAGCAGAATGTCCAGGCTGCTCTTTCCCTTAGATGGTGACCAGATGTTGTGCAGCGGCATAAAGGACAAAAAGTACTATAAAAGTAAAATAAGGCAGTCATGCACTATTACAAGTCTTCAGAAGCCATATAATAGGTTTACATGAAGAACAAACCATTATTCATTGACCATCTTGACATTTATTAGACCAGCTGAAAAGACCATCAAATGTTGTACTTTGCATGATGGCATCCCCATTGGCTTTTATTCTACCGACAAAAGCAGCTGAAGATTCTTCAAATTATGTCATTTGTGTTTTACGGAAGTAAAAAAAATCAATTTGCCATGACATAAGAGTGAGTAAATGATGACAGAATATTTATTGATTTAATCAGCTTCAAGTCAATGTTTACATTTGGGAAACTCTTTATCCAAAGCATTTTTTGTGTACACATGTTACCTGGGAATCAAACCCATGACCTTGCTGTTGGTAAAACCATACTCCACTACTAATTAGACCAGCACCAAACCAGAATAATCCAGCATCAGGTCATACTCAGAAGTGGTACCTCAGATGTGGCCAAATCTGCATGAAGGACATCCATCCACGACAAGAGGAAGCCAGTGTAAAACTGACATGTAGCTCTGAAAAGAGGGTGTGGTTGTGAGCCTGTTCGTCATGGTGCAGTGAAGACTTATTACCCTCTGTAAAAACAGCTGCTTAATTGAAGAGCCATAGGGGCGACAATAAACCAAAAGATACGATTCGTAATTAATGAGGAAGAGCAGCTTTACCCCGAGGATAAAGCTCTGAGGCTAAAACAAGCCTGTGAAACATGTTTAAAGAGTCTACCCAGGGTGATTTGTGAAGATGTTTGTTGTACAACGGTGTTACAGATTTGTTTCAGTTTAAGTCATACGCTGATTTAAGATCATTATTTGTGCCATTTCAGTTGTAATCTACAAATCTGAGAGATGATTTAGTATATGTGATGTGAGCAGCTGCTCAAGAGTCTTTGAATAGTTTCCACCCTCGCATTTGTTTGTGTGTTTATATGCAGAGGAAAGCACACTCATGCATTGTGATACTCTCCACAATGGCGGCATGCCACAGCAGACGGGATGAGGAGGAGAAGAATTGTTGAATAATGCGGTTATTTTGGTTTTCTTTGCATACAAAAAGTATTCTCATAGGTTCGTAAAATTACAGTTGAGCCACTGATGTCACATGGACTATTTTACCGATGTCCTTGCTACGTTTCTGGGCCTGGGAACATTTCAGTTGTGTTGCTGTTTAAGCAGGGTCAGAAAGCTCTCGGATTTCATCAAAAATATCTTAAGTTGTGTTCCGAAGATGAACGAAGGTCTTACGGGTTTGGAGCGACACGAGGGCGAGTAATTAATGACAGAATTTTCATTTTTGGGTGAACTCCCTTTAAACCAAATGAAAATGAGAAATGTTGCTTTTATTTTATTTTA